GTGACTTTATGAAATTTGAAGAGTTGCGGGAAGTTGTCTTTTTCTGTTGCGTAAATGTCATATTTAGAATATTTAGATAGAGCTGTGCCTTTTGGCATGTAGGAATCTTTAGTGAAAAGGAAAAAAAAGTGATTAAATTTAATTAAATGGGCTTAAACCAATTAATTTAGTCAAAGCTAATTAGATTCAATTATGTAAGCCTATCAGTATTCAATTAGTAGATTAATCAATAAACGTAATAAATTGTTTACAGGACCCTCATCAAAGTGTTTATTAGTATATTTACAAAATTTTGGTGTGCCTAATACCCATATAAGCGCTTTAACAACATCGTTAACATAAGTGAAACTATGTATAAAATTATATACATAAAATAATTTTATTGAAGTTAATAAATAACATATGAATGATGATACTAACAAATGTTATTCGAAAAATTACATTTTAAATTCATAACAAGGTTTAAAATGACACAATTTTCGATTTAAATCGCCTGAATTGCATTTTCTCAGTTGAACGTGTCGCTTTGGATATGTCAGCCGGTATTTTTCATTTAAATATTAATAAAACCCTTGCGGCACATATTTTTCCGTTTTTTTATCTGGCCCATTTTTTTAACCACAGCTTCTTATTAAACCCCCCTCATTCCTCCACAGGACAGTTTCCCTTGTACCAAAGATATAAGAAAATGAAAAATAAGACAATTCCTTCCTTAATATACCCATTTATTAAAGTTACCCGCGACTAGAAACGTCCCGTTTATTTTTTAAGGCTCACTTTCGCTGATAAATTTGCCCGAATTCTGTTTCCTGCCGCTCTCAATTAAAATGTTTTAATTTTTGTGCTTTGTAAGGCATTTTTTTCATTGCGTGATTTTCCTCTTACTGAGAAAACATAGGATTAAAAAATAACAAAATTCACTTTTGTAAATGAATTATGTAATTTTAAAATTGAAAAGTATTTCTGTACTTACTACACTTTTATACATATTATGTTTCCACTTTTCTCATTAAATTCATTTTTTATATACAAGCTATCTAATACGTAATTTTTCACTAAAAATCTTAAGACCATTTTCAAGATCAAAGCATCATAAAAACAAATGTAGGTTGCCAAAATTGAATAGTTCAGTTGCTAAAAGATGCTTTTTTCTCCTTCAGGGCAAGTGGGTAGATACTTAATACGTACAGTAATAGAAAATAAATTATTTTTCTTTCGTACACCTATTCCCAGTCCAGGGCTGGCTTCGAAACCATTGTTTTACCGTCACAATGGATAATTTTTAGAACTACCCTGCATTTGACACTTCTGAAACAACGTATAAAGTTCCTCTGCATCGCCCTCAATTAATATAAAGCTTCTACATTACTTAATTAACAGCCTAATTAACGCCGCATAACGACGACTTTAATAATTAGTGCAAAACTTACTACTGTTTACAATCTGTTTATTTTTGGAGCACGTGGGTTTGTGCATGCTAAGTTAGTTGCCAAAAAATTAACATATTTCGACTATTACATCTAGCTAGCCGCAGTGTCTCCGCTCGGGATACCTGTGAAGCATAAAAATACCCATATCGCTATTTTCAAATGGGCAGTTTTACGTTTGTGTTCCTCTTTTATCAGAATAAAACTATCTGAAGGCGTCTAACTGGAGGAAAATGTACTTAATTTAATAGACTGTGGCGAAATCTCGAATGCAGTTTTCCTTTTTAGATATGTTTATTTATCAATTCTGGCAGATTATTCGCCAATACAGTACTGGATGAGCTGTGTTTTAGGGATAACAAATTTCCATAGCCAATATGTTTATGCAGATGAAAATTCTCATGTTATTATGGAAAGACATTTTCAGAGTAAATTTAATATTAACGTGTGGATTAGTTTTATCAGTGGCAATCCGATCGTCTCAATGGCAAAAGATATTTAGATTCTGCAAAATACTCCATAAATACGCCACAATTGTCTGACGATTTAAGTACCAGTTGGTCTATCTACATGTTACATACATGTAACATGTATATGTTTATGCATGACGGAGCACCATCGCACTTCAGTCGCAATGTAAGAGAACATTTAAACCTAGCAGATGGATAAGCAAAGGACATGGTGCTCCACGTTCACCTGACTTAAATCCTTGTGATTCTTTTAAAAACTACTACAAAAACACAGCGGTTGATATAAATTCTAGAACGCGATAGGATGATAGTATTAAATTGTACTCCAATAAAAGTAATACATATTTGTGTGCACTTAAACGAAAAATACAACTGAAAATGGAGGACCACAATATTATAGTATTTTTTTACAAGACATTTTCACCGCATACGTATTTTTTCTAAATTAGATGGGAGGGATGGGAAGATAAAGTAATAATAATTTCTCCGTTTTCTCCTCATTACGGCTCTGTCCGGGCGCGCCAGTTATTTCCTCCGAGGATTTGCTTTTTCCGCAGGCGTCGGCAAGTATGAAGTTTTTAATTTAATTGGAGGAGAACCGGAGCAGCGTGGAGAGTGTCGTTTAGAAATATTAAACAAAAATAGAGGGGATTTAATTACCTCGGTATAAATCACGATATAAACGTTAAATACCTCATCTGAAACTATAATACGCCCCGTTCCTGCAGGGCTATAAAAATATTATGACAAGCTAATGCCCCCGGCAAATTTAATTTGGTTTTCGCCCGCCATTGCGGGCATAAAATGTGTGTCATAATTTCGCTGCCGGCTTTCTGGGGCCTTACCTTAAAGACGATTTACGGGATCGAGCGATAAATGTAAATTGCGGATTAAAAATCTCTGTGCACCCCGAAAAGTACATAATTAGGGGGAGAGAGTGACTATTTATCACGCACTCATCTCGCACGGTGCGAAAGATGAAGCAGAGCTCGTCCAAAATGGTTTAGGTTAGGTGATTTCCTCAATAGTACATCCGAATTTAGGTAAAATACATTTTTTACGGTTTCGGCTATGAATAAGTCGAAAATGACCCTTATGTAATAATAATGCAATTCCTACAACTGAAATATTCAGAATATCAGTAGGATGAAATGAAATATGGTAGCTGAAATTGCGAATGAATTTTCCAGTAGAGTTATCAATTCACACATTGCTCTCGTTTGCGTTTACGTTGCAATCTCGATATTATGCGGAAAAAAATATTAGCTAGTTTTTATGTATCCGTGCTGCTTCATTATTGATCTATATATTTTAATTTTGTTTCTCCCGGTTCGTTTAATACACGGTTTATTTTATCTGTACTAGGTATTTGCTGTCGATTAGTTCGTTAAAATCGTTGAGGCTTTATTATTAAGGTTAATTAAACGTTGCGTATTTTGCATGCATTTTTATATGTATGTTGCATAAATTAATTCTCTTCTAACAATGTTATAAATTATAATAATTAAGTATACTAAATAATGTTTTGCAGGTAAATTAGTTAGTTACAACATAATGTTAACTAGTGCACCACAACATGCATGAACAGTTTGTTATTGAAATAATACCATTTCTCGTGTTTACGCTCAGAAGTCAATGACTGCTAGCAAAAGACATTCTGAAATAACAAACACAATTGTTGGTAGTCACCCCAATAGAACGAAACGTCTAATAAGACACATTAAAAATATGTGTCTGTAAGCATAAAAAACATTTCTCTTATTTATTGAAAGTAGTTAGTTATATTATTCTATGTAAATCATAGGTCATGGGTCATGTGTTATATGGGTGTCATGAGAAATACGTTTTAACATTGATTAATGTAACTGCTTTCTTCCACCATTCATCAGATAAAAAAGATTAGGTGAGCAGGTTTTAAATTGAATACAACGATATGCTTTACTAAGGTATGGTAGGAGACATATGTGTCGAAATAGAAAGTTTTACATTCAGTAAAATGTTAATTTCTCTTGCATAACATATACCTAACTACAGTTAATCTCTACAAAAATATTGGGTTTCTAATAATTGTAAAAATATACTCCCAAAAAATTTGTTGAATTGTAGGTAGGTACACTATTGCACACTTAAGATGTCATCTTTCCTTAGTCGGCAACATACAATACACGTGTGTATTGTAAAGTAAACTTTCATAACCCTATATAGACTAAATAAAGCCCAGGTAGATTAGGAAAACCATGACCCGGACTTCTTTTAAAATTCATTTATCCAAATACTATAAATAGGGATAAGACAAATAATTCAATATGTCTGAGTGTATTTTCACAAGATCTGTTACTCCTACGCATGGATAGTAACATATAGTATATAGTAAATCAACTGCTACTTTTCAGTGCATCAACAAGGTGATTTTGTGCTCTGAGCTCTGCGACTCTATCTAACGAAGCGCTGAAATTCTAGTAATGGGGACAGGTACTTCCCTTATTGAGCCTGGAATAGAATAGGTAGATATCATATCACAGTAATGATCCTACCTATTCTAGTTTACATGAAATCAGATTTCCAAGAAATGTTAACAAATGTATTTATAAACAAGCAGTTATATTTTAATATTAACTCAAATAGTTACACTTGACAAGAATACATTTTTATTTAAAAAATCAGTAATATTTTTTTCTTAGTCCATTTTAAAATTTATTTATGCTTGTGTCGTTTCGTGGATACATACCATTCCATAACCAGATGTAAAACATGTTCTCTAAGCTCATTATAAGAGTAAACTAAATTAAAAATACTTTTAATGCATCATGTATCCTGTTATACATTCGAGTGCATCCCAGGTACAAACATGGGTCTAATTAGATTATAACTTTCCGAGTAGCTAGCTGTTCCGCTTGCGAACAATATTAGTTGATGTCCAAACGCTGCAACTGCAAAATTACATCCAGGTACGCTCTAAAACAATTCATTTTTTAACGGAACCGAGCCCGTAAAAGCTCTCGGTCCTAGATCGATAACATTCAAACTACGCGCCAGTGCCAGATTTTAGTTGTTTTCAATTGTTGGTTTGGCAACTGTTAACTGCTAGTGGAGTTGGCAGCATTGTCGCTTGAAGCACGTGGGGTGGAAGCTTCGTCGTTCGTGAGCTCCTAAATAAAAATCATTTGTTACTGAAAATAAAGGGTTCAAATCGTAAGTCACTGTGTTTATTTATATTACTGTAGTGTAACAGGATTATGTGAATTTAATGGACGCGATAAATGTTCTAATGCGGTCTAAATTTGAGGTGACGCTCGAGTAGCGGTTATGTGTACGCTTGCGGTCGGCCCCAAGCTTTTATTTGTTCTATGTACTCTTATCAAATCTTAATTTTAAATTTACAGGCGCTATTTTATTCGGCATCATTAGGTGCCTTGGAATGTTTGTAAATTCTATTTATAGGTACAATTGCATCCAGTAACCTAAGCAGCAGTGACAAACAAAACAAATTTAGGTATTTTTTGTTTGTGTACTCTTGGAGGGAGATTGTCGGAATTACGACCAGCACATTTACCCTAATTCTACATTAGGGTTTATATGCAAGTTTACTACACCGATGTCTTGCTATATTTTTATAGTGGAATTGTTTTCCTTCTAGTTCTACCATTTATTTATCTCTACTTGTTATCTACAGTTTATTATTTGTTTTAAAAATATCATTCCAGTACATACAAAATATACATACCTTTTAAAGCATTCTGTGTTTCAAATATTAACATATTAATTTAACGTTAAAAACTTAAATGGTATTCTTTTGTTTCAGATTTGAACCCATACCTTCCCCTTTCGCCCTGATTCCTCTTTGTACAAGGATATGGACCAAAAATCAATTTGCGATGACTCCAACGTCACCCTTACCATTAGACTGATTATGCAAGGAAAGGTAAGATTAAATGGTATTTTTTGCTAACGTTGTATATTTGCTAGTAGATATTTTTTAATTTTGCAAATTTGCTATACGGTTTTGATAGTATTTAAAATTTTAGTGCTGAAATTCATTTGTTGCTTTCATTAAACTAATGTTTGTGTTTTTATAAAAATGTATCCAATATTCGCCAATTTTATATCAAATTCGCTATTATAAGACAATTAAAATCTGTTCATGCATAAAATATTACCGATATAGTTTTATTGTCATGCTATTTATTCATGCTGCACTATGATTTGCTTTAAAATCTGTTTTATAGATAAAAAAAATTATTAAATATGTAGGGTAATGTGTATATAGGAAAATAAGTTATTTAATCTATACTGAGTAATGCAAGTGGTCGCATAAATCTCAATAATATCCATAAGTCAAATGTCTGGAGTCGTTTCAACATCACTGTGTAACTGTTTGCATTTTTTCAGTCTGCAGGTGAACGACCTCATCTTCTAGGATGCTATTATCATTTGTTTACTACATGTATTATTCCGCGTGTGATTTAATATTCAAATAAATGCGAAAGTCTGCCTTTATTAGGAATAATTAACTATTGATCTTCATTAATTACAGTCTTTCAGAGCCTGTACTGATACATGTGAAAACCGGAAATTGTCTAGTAAATTATATTTTATTCATAATTTTTAGTACCGTGAAATGGTTATTTTATGTAAATCTCTTTATTCATGTATGTTTTGTGGAGTATCAGGTGTAGTAGTCAAAAGAGACAACAAAAAAATGAATTATGATTCACATTTCTGGCAGTCAGTTTATCTTAATTTTTCTCTGATCTGCATAATGGATTTTACGTGTTTTCTATTTTGTAAACAGGCTGAAGAAATAGATTCAGAATATCAAATAGTAAATTCCAAAATATATGAAATTTTGTATTTTTTTTATTTGATTCACTTTTTTTTTTGTTTCCGAAACCAGTAATCATGTATAACTTTTACTGAATTATGTCTTTTCTTTCATATAATTTGAACTATACAAATTTACTGACCGCCTAATTATAGATGCAAGGTATGTTTACAAATATGGTTTTGTTTCTATATTTAGAGACATGACATTACCATTTAAACCGTCGTTTATATGTTTCGAAGACAGCATACAATAACATTTTACTGATTAGTCCTGGATAACGACTTTACTACCACGCCGTCCTTCAAAAAAAACGATTAATAATAAATTAATAGGTGTTGTGCCTCACGCCGCTTAAGACTTACGAAAGGTTATACAAAGAAAGTAGTTACAAGTTATTTTACTTTGTATCGGCACTATTTGATTTTTGCATTGCGTTCTTACAGGAAAAGGGTATATTGTTATACTTGACCTGTGCTATACGATGCTAACGATTTTATAGAAATACATGTAGCTGTTCTATTTGTCTTGTTTTAACAATTATATTAACATGTCCCTGGTTGAGCAAATAAATTTAGGTCTGGTTGGAATAAAACTTAACCGTGTCGAAGGGGACATACTTGGGTATTTGCTTTATTAGGAAAACAATGTTACTTATTGTATTTTTTTTATGAAGTAAACAATGATGGAAACTTCAGCACTTTTAATGTTTACATTGCCCCTACAAATATTTATTTTGTTTAATGTTTGTATAAAAACAATCAATATATAATGTACAAGGTGTTCCTTTTTGGTATAAAAATATTTAAGGGTGTAATTCTATATTCCAGACCAACTAGGTTTACTGCAAAAGTCAATAATTACATTAATTCATTACGGACAATACGAGTTTTATTTTTTTACCCAAAAACAGTGCACCGTAGGACAGAAACTCAAGAGAGCTCTTATCTTTGGCATTGAACAGGGATTTCAAAAATAAATTTAGTTGGGGAAAAACCCATTGATGTACCATTTTTTTTTTAAATCAAAGTCAGTGCTCGTATGCACACTACTGTTAGGGCTAAAAATTATGTTTGTATTGAAAATGTCACTGAAATATCTCAAAGCGATTTCGAAAATATTAATTTCCTTTTTTTTCTTAAAATTTTAACACCCTGTATTTTTGTAAGGAAACATTTTGGACCATAGTTTATAAAATAAACTATTATTAATTTTCCATGTAGAATTACACCCTTAAATATTTGCGTATCATTAAGGAATACCCTGTATAATACAATGATATTTTTTTAAAACTTCATAGATTTTATTTTACTTTAGTGTATTACTCTTTTGTGATACACTACCTTCAATTCACTCATTGATTTTCTACGGATTAAATTTACATTTCGGATGAATAAATCTGGAGTTTATAAAAAATTATACGATTTAATTAGAATCAGTATTCAAATTAAATCAACCCCTAATTATACCAGCGGATTAAGTAATCTTATGAAGCCAAATGAGAGGCTTAAACACAAATTAAGAATCTCAGAATTTACTCTGCCGTTAAATTTCTATTGATTTTTTTCGTCAACTTGGGAGATTTCCGTTGACATTTATATCCCTGTCGGTTCTCTTATTTTATGTGATGCTTCCGGGACGAGCTGTCTATTGCTTCGTAATTAATAACTTAAATGTTATATGATCTTAAAAATACACTAGAATGATTACTAATTTGCCTTTCAAAAATTTTATAACCGTAAATAATTTTAAAACAAGTAACGACTATATTAATACTTTTACATTTATTTAAAAAAATGTATATATATTCAAGGTCATGCAAAAATTGTTAATATTTTGCCAATAAACGAATTGCAACTTTAGCGTATTATTCAAGGTGACATATCCCATGCTTAAAATAAGTATTCTGTGCATTGGGTTGATGTCGGCTATGTGTTAATCTGTAAAAATACATATCGAGGATGAGGCATAAAAAAGCATTTCCTGTTTTTAAATTGTTATTGCATTTAATAGGAATGCAACTCCTGTTTGTTAATTGAGAGGCAGATATTAAAATAACACTGTTCCATTAACCACGTAAACAAGATAAAAAAGAACTGAACCAGAGTCAGATAAAATAATTGTTGCGTGCTACAATAAACGTTTGGTTTTGTCACACTAATTATACATTGCTCTGCTTATCATCAAACGAATCGAGTATTATTGATGTAGTAATGCGATTCGACTTTAATAAATGGTTCTAGACCGGCCAACCTGCGCAATCTTCTTTTGTTAAGTGCCAATTAGACATTTAATTATAGATTGATACCGGGCTTGGACTAAAACAAACGCACAGTCTGGGTCAATCACTAAGAGCTTTGCCAAGATATTCGTGATATATCCCAAAAATATGCACTATTAACTCTACGGACTTTATTAATGACGTTCTATTATTACAAGCCTAGACTGCACGTGACCAATGGGATATTTGCGGAAGGATGGAACTAAAACGACCGATTTTGTTACATGTCAGTACCTGAACTTGAAGTTTCAGTATAAACGAATATATTTCAAGTTTTGAAATAGCCCGAATAAAGAATTTGACATTAATAATACATGAAAGCAATAATTTCTCTCTCGGAGCTATGTTTAGGGTGACATTTTTACGAATTGATTGTAAAGCACAATAATAATCCAGGTTCAAGAGAAATATGAAATTCTAACTCTGTATGTAAATGGAAGGCTTCTAAATAAATTTAAATCCCATTAACGTACATGTAAGGCTTATGTTGGTACTGTTACGAATTCATTTTCATAATACATTTAAAAGGAATGTAAATTATACATTTAGATTTGTACAGCGTGGAAACCACCAGTTTTTAATGTGTTTTTTTAAAGTTTTGTTTATTCCAGAGGGAATATTTTGAGTTGTATACGTATACCGAACAAATGATACACACCTTAACTTTTTTTTAGTTTGAATAATCTGGCTCTTTAATTATCAGAATGCAAATGTATTTTTTATGAATGATCTCCAAGAAAATATTAATAAAACAAAGGCTCCAATTAATAATATCGTTTCGGGTTTGTAACCGTACCTTTTTACACCTTAATTTGTCAGATCTGGCACACTGAATATTGGCAATCAGGAAGGTGCGAAAGATATGACACTCACTTAAGGGTATTTCCTTAACAATGAGCTCCTTGACAACAGAGGCTCATCAATCACCTACAGATTTGCTTTGTTAACTAAAAGTATATAAGGGGAAGCTTATGATATGAATATTAAGGAGACTGAAATAAATATTTTACTTATACAAGGGTCGAATGAAAAGTTATCGATTGGGGTTTTCTTTCTCGTTTCACTTCTAGTGAAGAGTAGATAAATGATACATAAATACATATTTACAAATAAAAAAATGTGAAAAGAACACATTGTTCAACACTATATTGACTTGTTTGTTTATTCAGAGAGTTAATATTTTGTATTGCTTCATTTCCTCGTTTGTAAAAATCACGTTTTAAGATTTATTTTAAAGTAAAATGAATTAAATCGAATTCATTTATATATTTTAAATTTGTATTTGCTTGGGTTTATTGTGGTATTCCTTAATTAATGTATGTTATAACTTATATTTCAGGAGGTTGGCAGTATAATAGGAAAAAAAGGAGAAATCGTTAAAAGGTTCAGAGAAGAGGTAAGTCGAGTATTTTAATATTTTTATATTAGGATGTACCAATGTATTCGTCAACATTGAAGGACTCTTTTAATTTAATTTAAAACTGAAAGTGCTCAAAGGTACATGCTAATTTTTAATTTGTAAGTAATGTTGTGTCTAAAGTACGTGAAACACATTTTGCCCGATTCCTATAAACGGTTTGAAGGTCACAAATTTTTAAAATATTTAATGAGGCAAAGCATAAGTTATCGATGGTGCCAGTATCGTTAGCGTTAAATATGTAGACTTATATTTGAACTTTTTCCAAATTGCAGTAAATATAGAAAGTAGGCTATGTTTTATAGTTTTTGAGGTAAATAGTGCATTGTACTCAATCGGTTGCGGTAAAATTTTTCAGAATTAATAACTAAAAGTCAGATAATACTTTTGAAGGACAAAAATGATGCAAAATGTTGAATTTTTGTGTACTTTAGTATGCATAAAAATCTTTTTAATTTGCCTTTCAGAGTGGCGCAAAAATAAACATATCCGACGGGTCATGTCCGGAGAGAATTGTGACCGTTACAGGATCAACAAGTGCAATTTTCAAAGCTTTCACACTTATTTGTAAAAAATTCGAGGAGGTAAGCCACTGAATATAATTTTTTATGAATTTCCACTGTAGCGAGACTTTTTGTAATGCAACCCTAACAAATATTAGCATAGAAAATAGAGTGTGTTTTATTAACAGCTTTCCAATTTTTTTTGTGGCATCAGCGATGTATACAGGGTGTTATTATTATTAAGTACGTGGCCAAACTTCAAGGGGTGATTCTTTGAGTGATTCTAAAGCGAAAAGTTTATATAAACATAGGTCCGGTAATGCTTCGTTTTCAAGATACTCGGTGTCAAACTTAAATAAAAAAAAACGTGTTTTTTTTTTGTAAAAATCTTATTTCTTTAGCCGATTTTGTTGAAATTTCAGTATTATTTATGGTAGAAAGAGGCTAATTTAGCCCTGACAAGATTAAAATTATTAAGTTCAGTGGCGTCCCAGGGGACACCTTAACCAATATTTTTGACAAATAAAATATGCATCAGTGACTTTTTTAAAACTTTTATAATTTTTTTCGCTGAAGCAACTAAAAATACAACTTTTTTGTTTCTTGAATTTTTTTCATATCTTGCTTCCTTTTTGGAGAAAAAAAAAATAAAAAATCACTATTGCATGTCTCTGGAACATAATAAAAAAATCAAACTATCAAAAACTGGGGTGTACCTGTTATTTTTTTCCATATCGGTAGTCTATTCTAGACTTAGAAATTGTTATAAAAATTAATGCTAGCTAAAAAAAATTTTTTGTTTTATTAATTAATATAATTGTTTTTTTTTGTTGTCCAGGGACATACAATAAAGTGTTTTTATTTTTTTTTCCTCAAAAAAGTAAGCAAGATACGAAAAAAATTCAAGAGACAAAAGGTTGTATTTTTGATTGCTTGATGTGAGAAAATTATAACAGTTTTAAAAAAGTTGGTGGTCCACATGGGTCCACAGTTTGTCAAATTTATTGGGGCTAAATTAACCCCTTTTTACCATAAATAATGCTTCCAAATTTCAGTAAAATCGTGTAAATGATTATTAACATTTTTAAGAAAAAACTATATTTTTTTAAAGTTTGACACCCTGTATCTTGAAAACGAACCATTGCTGGACGGACCTATGTTTATATAAACTTCACTTTAGAATCGTTCAAAAAGTCACCCTTTGAAATTTTGTCACATACTTAAATAACACTCTGTATATTGGTCCAAGATATAAAAACTATTTTCTATAATTCATTTATTTTGATGAGAAGCGTATTTTTAGTCTTTGTTCTTTATTTGTTAATTTTTCTGTTTAAAATGCAGTAAACCATATGAACATGGATCAAAATAAAATTTTATTCACACTTTTTAAATCTGCAATTGCTTTAGTAGTGCTTTTTAATGTTTAATTAAAATATTACTGTATATACCTTGTAGAGGAAAAGTTTGGGATAAATTCGTTATTTCCGAATTTCCTACTTCCATGTTCAATTATTTGTGCACGATGACATTGGAGTTTTTTTTGTAAATAGAACTTGTATTATTTCAAATTCTTGGGGATTATAACTTTCTTCATCCAATAGCGTACAATTATAAAACTTTAATTAATTTCCACAGATTGGAAATAAAAAGTGGTGATGTGTAGAAATACAAGATGTAACTCAGAATGGCGCCAGCTTTGACTTGTTTTTGAAATTCCGTCGTAAAAACTAAATGTCACTTTAAATTTTACTAATAGCTAATAGGAAGTCTTGAAATTATCTACCGCTTTACAAATAAACAAAATAAAAAACATAAAATGACGGCGTAACATATTTAGTAGTGGCCCAAAAAAAAACGATTTTTTTTGTGTCTTGTGAAAATGTTTTAAGAACCCCCTCAAAAAATCAGCTCAAAAAATTTTTTTAGAGGTCGTTCAAGATTTTTAAAAATTTCCAAAATCGTCAAAAGTAGAATTTTTTTTTAATTTAAAATTTAATTAAAAAAAAAAATCAATTTTTGACGATTTTGAAAACTTTAAAAAAATTCAATTTTTGACTATTTTGGTGACCTCTAAAAAAATTTTTTTTGAGTTGATTTTTTGAGGGGGCTCTTAAAACATGTAAACTAACATATTTTCAGAAGACACGAAAAAAAAATTTTTTTTCTTGGGCCACCCTAATATTTAGTTATTCTGGTTTTACTTTTTGGTCCGTCTAACACCCTGATGTCATATCATATCAGGTGTATTGGTATGTAATTCACCTAAATTAAGTCAATTTTAGAAATCATGGACATACCAAATCTTTTTTATTGAAAACTTGAAATTATTTGATTTTTATTATGTACATTTTATAAAACAAAACATTTTACACACATATTTCTACAAATCATAACTTTTTATTCAGAAAATTTTGTTGTAAAGAATCTGGTTGAAAATTATACAGACATCTCTGGAGAAATTCCATAAAACGCATTGGAAATATTGAATTTATTCCATACTCTTCTCCACCGGGTATGGTTTAAAAATTTGAACGATTCTACCCTTTTACCATAGCATTGAATGTATGTCAGTAGAATTTCCCTCCCGTCCGAGTAGTAGCTAACTAGCGTAGTAGTTGTCTTAGTGTGTACCTGTGCACTTCTTAATGTCGTGTTTTTGTGCGATGGGAATCCTCAGTGGTGTTCCCAGTTCCAGGATATAAACAGCGGAAGTAGCGGGGTGCCCAGGCCTCCCATCACGCTGCGTCTCGTCGTGCCCGCCAGTCAGTGCGGCTCCCTCATCGGCAAGGCTGGCTCCAAGATCAAGGAGATCAGGGAGGTGACCGGCGCCTCGATACAGGTGGCGTCCGAGATGCTGCCCAACTCGACGGAGCGGGCCGTCACCATATCTGGTACCGGGGAGGCGATCACGCAGTGCATTTACCACATCTGTAATGTCATGCTCGAGGTGGGTGCAAATTGTTCGCTTTTCGGCTAGTAAATAGATCTGTTTTTGGGGGTAAACTTTAGGGGTGCATTTTACCCCTTTAAAAAGATTATTGGCAGAATCGTATTTTTTTTGTCTTCTATCGGTGACCGACACTTCAATAATCTTCCTTGTTGATCCTTGAAGATTTTAAAAATGTGATTGAGAGGATATTTTTACTTTTTATCTTAATAACCAACTAAATCAATATAATGTAAAAGTACAGATACCAAATATCTCGCTGTGCTAAAGAAATAATTTCAGGGACGATCTCATTAGGATATCTAAATATTTAATGTAATAACTTCATTTGATAAGAATCTAGAACATTTTTTATTTAAAACGTTAAACATTTTATAATAATTTATGAAGTGCGCAAAGTTAATATAATAAACTTTGAAATGTAAATATTTGTTACACTGTTTTAACACAACCTCATTTCATGTCATAATTATCAAACGATTCATTGCAGAAAAAAAACTAGTTCATTTACCTGCTTATGTTTGGCCTAGACCTTATTTCTTTTTTTATAGTTCTACTCGACTGAAAATTAAACAACTATACATGTTTGAAGAAATATTCACAGTATATTGTGTTTATTAATAATTGAAAATTAAAACAATTGTATTAATTATTTTTAACAATCGAATATTATTTATAGTTTTCATGAAATACATTTTTGATCATAACACATTGAAAAAATTTATATTTATAAATAGATATGCCTGGTATTAGCAGTTATATATGTACAGGGTGAGCTAATTTTGACATTTTTGGGACACTGTATACATATTTTCCATGATGATAGAAAAAAAAGTAGTTAAATGTCACGAAATCAATTTTTGAGAGAAAATGATGTTGAAAATCGCATCTTGACATCTTGTTTGTTTTCCATTTTTAATCATTTTTCATGATGTGTAAATAATTGTAAAACCAAAGTTTTTTGTTGTTTTTTTGCGAAAAAATTCCATGGTATAATGACACATTTCTGTAACCTACAGTTGTTCAGTTACACACCAAAAATTTTTTTTTGAATGGTACACTGTTTTTTGATTTTTGTAATCTATGAAATTTCTGCTCAAATAATGTATTGTACATGATATTTATGCAAAAAATTTTTGAAAAATTTTATTTCCTATCCAGTTTTTTGCATAAAATTTAATGGTGTACAATATTCTATAACTTATAGTTTTTCGGTTACAAGCAAACATGTTTTTTTTTCAAATATGATACTATACAGGGTGATTCAGAACTTATTCAAAACAAAATTTTTTTGAATGTACAGGGGACTTTTACGCATACAATTTTGTAAAAAAAAATCAAAAAGAGCAGTTCAAAAAATGATTTTAAAATACACCTCTGCACGACACTGGAAATGGGACACCCCGTAAAATCTGACCCTGCATAAGGCAAAGCATGCAGTCGGCGACTGCAGCAAAGTGTAATAAAAAATGAACGAACAAAAAATTGAAAGAATTTCTTACCCAGGGAAAGAAATAAATAAAATTTTTTAACACCTATTTTATATCTGCAAATTCAGCTGCTTTTGCCGCCATTATTATCATTATTATTATTATTATTCCAGTTTCTACGAGCTAACATAAATATTGTCTTGCTTCACCATAAATTAAAACGATATAGTGCTGTTTAAAAAAGTATGTTTATTTTGTAACTGAAAAACAGAAAATTGTAAATGAAAAACTGAATAAAATTCCTTACAAAATTACAAATTGGCAGAAATACAAAAAGTATGTAACAAAAAACAGCCGAAAATGAAAAATATTCTGTATCCCATAATAGATACTGAAATGAGGTTTTCACTGAATTTTTTTTTTTTTTTTTTACTAAAAATTGTCTTAACAAATGCGGAATATTTTGTGTTGATATTTAGCGAGAAACTATGCTTGACAGAGTTCCTTTTGTTTTTGTTGGTTGCAGTCCCCTCCCAAAGGAGCAACCATCCCCTACCGCCCCAAACCCCAAGTGGGTGGCCCCGTCATCCTGGCCGGCGGACAGGCCTATACCATCCAAGGCAACTACGCCGTTCCTGCCCACACAGACGTAAGTAGCTCAGTAATGTCCCCCCTATTTGCCCCCCCTTTGCCCCTCGGCCACCCGCTGGCTGCTGTGGCCCCGGCAGCCGCCCCAGCACAGCTCATGTCGTTTGAGCCGCTCAAGAACGGACACTTGCAGGCTGCCCTACCGCCCGCGCATCTCTTGCCAGATGTAAGTTGATCGTATTGGTGCTCCCCCCTCTATCGTTTATCAGTAGAAGTACCGACGGTCCCGCCGGTCTCGTCAACTTTCATCCGAAACGGTCCTTAAATTAAATATGATTTGAAAAAAGTCGATTGTTGTAAGATAAAAGTTTAAAGTGACGGTTGTAGCAAATTTGACGAGATTTTTAAGGCCAAAGCTACTTCCCCCACCTCTGGACCCCAGACCCGGATTGTACCCCGACAGGACTCATAGTTGAGTCGAAACTACCCTTTTTAATTTTTTAAATGTCGTTTCCAGTTTTTTCTTTGTTTTGCATCCTCACCAGCATGCTTTTGAGCTTGTTAGATGTCTCTGTGTTTCTTTTAGCACCAGATTTTGTAATTCACTAATGATTTGTTTTTTTATTTAATATTTTGATGGTTTTCATGTTATACGGACTGTAACGTTATTTTTTAAAAATCGAGGAGTGATTTTTGTCCAAATTTAAGAATGTCTTATACACAGTGTAACTTATAACAGGTTGTTGGCAATCTACAGTGCACATAGAGGGAGATAGTGTGGGTCAACTGAGACAAAGCGAAGGGAGTCAGTTGTTCCGCATTTTGAAGACAGTACATCTTACTGTTAATTTTAATGTTTTCCATCGTTATTAAATTCCAAACGGAATTTGAAAAAATAAACTATTTATACGTGTTACTAAAGGTCAAAGGAAACCTGTCTATAAATATGACCCCCACTCAAAGTTACACCCTGTATACATTCATCCTTGGAGATACAGTGTTGAATTTAAATAAAAAAAATTATATCTAAATCTGTACTAGACAAATGAAATACATATTGAAGATCATTTTTCAAAATTACAAATATTTCCCAAGATATTGTCTTTTTTAAAATCAATTTATCCACATATATATTTTGACAACCACTATCTATATGGAAGGTAATTATTTACATATGCATGCCAACAAATGGCAAGTTGCCAAGTCACGTGTCAAGAGCATTATTTGGAATAAGACCTCAAATCTTGTTTGATGCCGTACACTAATTCTAATACATAATAAAAAAAACAACTCTAATTCTGATAGATTCTAGTTTAAAAAATAGTAACGCAAAAATTAAATTATGTAGTATTGTAACCTAAATTTATAATAAACAAAACACAAAACCCGAAACAATTGAAAAATTAATTTCAGTAAATTAAAGACTAGCATAAAGTTTGCACTATTTAAAAAGCAAAAAGCTGTTAAGTTGCACAAAAAATGAATTATTACGTGTGCACAGCAACAAATTGCAAGTTGCCAAGTCATGTGTCAAGAAAATTATGTAATAAGTGAAATTGACGATTCTGAACAGTTTTTCTATTGAATTATGAATATTTGTTGTAGTTTTGACTTTTTTGCTGCTAATTTTGCATAAAAAAAAAACTTATTAATTACTTGTTTTATTTAGTATAGTTTCAAATATATGAGGATTCTCCCTTTATAGTAGATACAATAATTCCTTTTAATATCTGCGTTGTCCATGAGATATTTGAGATATACAAGGGACAACTTTGAGTGGGAGTCATATTTATACAGAAGCTTCCTTTGGCCTTTAGAAATAACGTATCAATAGTTTATTTTTTCAAATTCCGTCATACTCAATAATGATAAATAAATTACACAAAAATGGTAGTTTGTTGATGACTTCCAGCGATGAAAAACATTCAAATTCACAGTTAGATGTACTAACTTCAAATGTGGAACAACTGAAGCCATTTACTTCGTCATCGTTGACCCGCACTATCTCCCTTCACGTGCACTGTAGGTTGCCTACAATTCATGTATTTATACACTTCAACACCCCGAGTCCCAAAAACAAAGCTCTCTAGGGCGAATTAAATAAAAAAATATTCTTAAATTTGACCGAGAAATAAGTTCCTTTATTTTTGACTGGTTGCATTGTGCTCAGTATTGCAAAAAAAATTAACTTTTCCGATAAGATTTAAGTAAATACGTTGGTTTTATTTATTCTACAAAAAAATAAACTAAAAACTGAGAAAATAACATAAATACCTTTTTTCTACGTTTCGTATAAAAAATTTCTGCAATTTTTTCAAATTAAATAATTTTCGGCTGCTATCAGTTATAGACCAAACAGTATTTGTGATTACTCGAGAAATTTAGAAGCGCTACATAAAGACGTGTTGTCTCGTTATTTTGGTGTTTAAAACTTTGTAAATGTGTAGCGGTAGTTAGAGAAGGATTATTAGATAGGTGTGGAAATTGCTTATGTCTGATACTTTGGAAGTTCTGTACTGCCTAAATATTACACTACACTTGAATTAACTTCATTTATCATGTACTCTGCATGCGTATTGTATCTTAAAGGAATTTTTTTAGGCTCTTTTAGCTGCTTTTATTTTACAACTAAGTGTACATAAGTATTGAGAAGTATATTTCTTGATTTCGTTTGTTACTCTTCGTATTTGATTTACTGTTTACTGAGATAGTGCTTCCGCTAACAACATGTTGATGCATTGAACATAATATTGCAGCTCAGCTTTATCGTTACTTTCTCACCAGTTTGGGATCTGTTGGACTTCCGTTTAGTTTAAAAGTTTGCACACTTTGCATGGCTCTGGAGGGACACCTTACGATTGATTTAAATCGTTCCGTCGGAAGCCCATTTTTCAGTCGATTCGCTGGGCCCATAACTTGAACTTAAACCATCGTTTCAGGAGAATTTTACGAGATACTCACTATTTATGTACTATACTATAAAAGCATTTAATTATAGCAATTACGTTAACCGATAAAAAACGATTGTTAAAAAATTTGCTGGTAACCTTGGTCAAAGCTGTTACTTTAGTTCCTGTTTTATCATTTCATAGAAACGTTTTATTTTCAATATCATAAACCATTAAATGCCAAATTGCAGGTAAATAAAATGATTTATGTATTTAATTCTGTTCAATATTTAGCTAACAAAAAAATCCTGTTCGAAGGACCATAAAAGTATATGCATTAAAATTTTATGAATTGTATATATTGATTTTATTTAAAGGTTTTAAAATTTTAAGAATTTAAAAATGGGAAGGTAGTGTAGTACTTACGCAAGTACATAGTAGGAAGGGATCCGTTGTCATACATATTGTGTAATTTGTGTTTGTTGGTTTTTTGTTTCAGGTCGCCAGTTTGGGTAAAAACCCCTTAGCCGGACTGGCCGCCCTCGGACTGGGAGGGCTGGCACCATCGAGTGCGGGGGGTTTAAATCCGGCAGGTAAGTCGGCCACTCGACTAATTCCCTGAGGTACTTACAAAAATTGCGTTTTTAGCCCTGGCCGCCTTGGCCGGTTCGCAACTCAGAACCTCCAACTCCAGGAACCAACAGAACACAAACCAGCAGACACATGAAATGACCGTACCGAATGAACTGATCGGCTGCATCATCGGCAAGGGGGGCACCAAGATCGCCGAGATCAGGCAGATCTCGGGGGCCATGATACGCATATCGAACTGTGACGACCGCGAGAGCGGATCGTCGGATCGCACGATCACCATCTCCGGGAATCCCGATGCCGTGGCCTTGGCACAGTATCTCATCAACATGAGGTAAGTCTCGGTTGTTTCTTGCGGTCTTTTTAAGGTGGTAGCATAAGTGATCCAGAAAAACGTTAACTTTCTTAGAATGTTCATACTTTTTTTTTGATATTCTTGCAAATTAATTTTAATTAAATTAAAGAAGGCAAAATCGATTCATTATTAAACGTATTTTTGTTTTTATCAGTTTGTTATCTCTTATATAGGGTGTTTTAAAAAAAAGGTGTTATAAATTGGGATGCTGGTAGAAAATTAAAAAAAAAAATGTTCTTTTTTTTATGAAGCTGCAAAAAAATTTTTTTAAATAAAAATTTTCGTTTTATCTTGGAATTATGGATATATATGCGCATTCTCAATGTGTGTGTTGATTCAGTCTTTTACAACTACCTTATCAGGTCACTAACAACTGCACACGATTTCATTTTAACGACACTTATTGGAGTATCTCAAATGTTTCCGAAATGTGTTTTGGACGAGTTGAAGCAAAAAATTACTGGAAAGTGTCCTAGAAATGAACTGTCCGAACTGTGTTACAGTTGTGGCAAAAATCCATTGAATTAAGCTTTGATTTACTGCCATATCCGCCTTATTCACCAGACATAGTCCTGTCGGATCTGTTTTCACACCCAAAAAAATACCTAAGAGGCCAAAAGTGTTCAACAAACTGTTACATTAAAATTTCCATGGACAACTGTTCTGAAAAACTTGACAGGGTTGAGTTTTATCAAGCCATAATTTTAATGTATTGGGGTGGCAGAGGATTATGTTTTCTGAGGATGCTATAATTACACAGGCCGATAAAATTTGGCCGCTCCTCTAACCCTGAAACCAGAATGAAGGATTTTGGTGTGCTGAATTCGATCCTTGGTCCAAATTTCTCAATTTGCTCTGTTTTTTGAGATATCCTAACCTAAATGTGTCAAATTTGCGGTTTTTTGACATGTTTGAGGTTATGTTGCATGGGAAGGTAAATTTTTGTGCTAAAGCCATTAGTGGGGTCTGACAGGTGCAACATAATGTACAACTTGATGATTATATACACCATACCACAGTTTGTGCAAATTTATTGAAAATAGGCAATATTTTATATTTTTAAGCAGTTTTTTCGCACTTGACTGGTATCGTTAATTTTGGTAAATTAATTTTGTTCATAAAAATGTCTACAGAAGCCTACACTTTTTAAATTTTGATTTTTATAAAATTCACTTGATTTTCCATAGTTCGGGTAAATCGCGATACATCTGTATAAATTCTCTCCAAAATTCTTTATTTCCAATCGTACATAAAGCCATTTTATTTATTTTTTAAAACCGCTTGAACAACTCTATAGTAGGATCGTATTCGATGCAAAGTAGAGCAAAAAGTTGTCGGTCTTTTATCAAAGGAAAATCGCGTCCTCATTTTTAGAAGGCGTAAGATGAACCATTTCAAATTTAAAATGAAATTGAATGTAGGAAGAAGGGTGCCAGACGTGAACTGATCCCTTCGTCCCTTCATAATGTATAAAGAAATTATTCGATTTCTAAAACCCTTAAAAGCGTATGGCACTGGATCCCTTGACAGGCAATGACTTATTACTTTGCATCGAATATGATCCTACTATAGTTGTATGACACTATTCGTTTGTTACTTTGTACAACACCTTCAAACAAGCTCGAATTTACTCAAACTGTTGCGAAACGGCTCCAATCAAGACATACATGATCAAAATGTTTGCAAGACGCCCTCTATTGTGTAAATTGTTTGATCGTGGATGGGGCCTATTAAAGTACTATACTCTTTAAAACGCACTTGGATTTATCACGGTATCATTTTTCGTTTTGAGAAATCGCATGTTGAAATTTAGTAGTTTGACTTATTTCTCGATTTTTAAATATATATACTGACAAGTGACACATCACCACAAACCTAAATTCATCGGCACCTGGAAGTAGGGATCTTACATGTTTTTGGGGTCGCTGATCATGAGCAAAAAAATTACCTTCCCATGTAACATAACCTCAAATATGTCAAAAAAATCTCGATTTGGCACTTTTAGGTTAGGATATTTGAAAACCAGAGCCAATCGAGAAATTTGGACCCCTGACTCGAATTCAATGCACAGACATGAGTTTTTGAGGTTGTTTTCTGATTTGTGTTCTCTCATATTGTAAAATTCAATTTTACACAAACGCTATACTCTTGTTAAAATTGCAATCGTTTTCTACAAAAACACAATTGACTGCCAAAATGAACCCATTTCTATTCCTAAATATTGTTTTTTACGCCCTGTCAAACTATGAATTTCTTAAGAAGTCGTCTTAATAATAATTTTTCATTTAAATAAAATTTGAACAAAAACTCTGACAATGAGATTAAATTTGCTTTCACGGAATGTACTTGATAAAGGAACGATATTTAAAAATAAGAAGAGGGTTAACTTTGATACAGTCAATTGTGATATTGTCAGAACATGTTGCATTTTACTATCAGTATCTTTTTGAGGTAAATTTATAATTTACGTCGTAATACGCAGACACTGCAAAAAACTCAATAAAAAAAAAGTGTTAAAATTTCACTGAGAAACATCTCAACTCGAAAACTTAACAATATTTTTGTTTTTTTACCATCCTCAAAAACTTACATACCAGGTGTTCAAAAAGTTTAGAACCAGAAAATACTGCTCAAACAAATAAATGATTAGGACAAAAGTTGCAGGATTTTGAGTGAGCAATCCAACGGTGACCTTGACCATGACCTTGACCTTCAGGGTCTTTTAGAGGTCAACCTGAAAATTTTAAATGGAACCGTATATTTTTTACCCTGGAAATGGAAAAAAATGGAAATTTTTACATTCGGATATGACCTTGACCATGACCTTCAAGGTCATTTAGAGGTCAAGTTGAATATTTTTAATGGAACCGTATACTTTTTTGCCTTTAAATTTTTTTCGTAGGAGCATGATTAAACTTAAGTTCTTTGCTTTATGCTTGACGTTACAGTTACCTTTAGGTCATGGTCAAAGACATGGTATAGGTCATTTTTGAATTTTACGCTCACGCATTTTCCGCAGCCAAGAATATCGAGTCATTTATTAAAAATCGACTTGGCCTGTAAGCGACCTTGAAGGTCATGGTCAATGTCATATCCGAAGGTAAAAATTCCATTTTTTCCATTTTCGGAGTCAAAAATATACGGTTCCATTTAAAACTTTCGGGTTGACCTCTAAATGACCTTCAAGGTCACTGTTGGATTGCTCACTCAAAACCCTGCAACTTTTGTCCTAATCATTTTTTTGTTTGAGCAATATTTTCTGAGATAGGGGGGGGGT